GAGCATTGTATGTATGAGCAAATGTACATCATTAATAGATAAATTTTATTGAGGAAGTTTAGAATCATAATTTGACTTTTTTATTCAATGTTTTTAAATATTTTTTTGAATTTTTATTTTTACTTTTTTTTTTACTATACTAAATAAGTTTTGACAAAATTAGTTTAGTAAATAATATATATTTTTTTCTCTATTGGCCAGTGGCAAACGTTGGTCAATAAAAAAACGTTGGTTTTTATTTTAATATATTCTATTTTTGCTGGAACAATGAATAAATGAGGTCCTAATAAATTTAAAAGAATAATGAGGTCCTAATAAATTTAACAGCAACTTCTGTGTATTAAGCACTTACAAGTACTACCTTATTTTGCCTTTCATTTTTATAATTGTTCATGTTTCATAAATGTTTTATAACTTACAAATTTAAGTTAATTTGACCACGTTTTTTTTTTTTGTTATGAAAAAACCTCTCCAGTTCTTTGTAACAACTTTAACTAAACTATTCAGGAAAAAGTTTGAATAATCATATCTTTGAAACCATTTGGAATATTGTTTGGAATTATTTCTTTAATTAATTAATCGATCTGGAATAAATCTAGGTGTGTCAGTCCATCTTCTTTGCTTTTTGTAGGCGGATTTGCTTCACTTTTTTATAAGCTGAATTTTGATATTCTTTTATTCAGCATCTGCTTTCATTATATAGTAAATGAAATAAGCCAGGTCTTGGTCAAAAATATCCAGATCAGAAAAATGATGTCACAAAGTAAGCAAGCAATTTTAGTTCCTTTTGTGACAGATCTATAATTACTCTTTTGAAAACGGTATAAATTTGCCTTTGTAATTGATTGGATACACTTAACTTCAATAGTTCATCTTTAATCCAAAAACTAACTAAAGCAAATATTTGTTCTCATTCGTTTTCATCAGGCGGTCAGAAAATTAATTATTTTGTACTTCTTTGCTGCTAAAACAAACTAGTTTTGGTGTTCTTAAGTTATCTAGTTTACAGTCAAAGTAGTTTACAATCAATCCTGTATAAATAAGAATTAAAACAGTGGCCAGGTGAACTTAATTATGCAAAATAAAAGGTTTTATCCCAGTATCTAATAGCATAGTTCAAAGTAGACTAGTAGTATTTAGGTTAACACCATCTCAGTTTTGTTATAGTAAATATAGTATTTTAGATTTCTATTCACATAAATAGGTGAGGTTTAAGCTAAATCACAGTTTAAATCTACATTGTCTTTGGTACAATAATGTATATGGAATTAATATCAACAATCAATAAAACAAAAACCTAAGTAAATAAAAATTTCAAATAAAAAGCAAATCTGCTTTTGTCTAAATTTGATTTGAGATTTAATTTAAAACTGATAAGATTAATCACAGTTTAAGAGTTCACCATTTCAGTTTACTAAGCTACGAGAAAGTTAAGTTGTAGTAGTTATAAAAAATAAAAATAAAACAAAGTTACTGATCTAACAAACATAATGTTACTAAAATATATTGTAACTAAGTAGAGAATAGATTTAATTTCACTATGTATTTATTCTGATATTCTCGTGATAATAATGATTCTACAAATAATTTTTATTGTGTAAAATATTACTCAATATCTAAGTTGTTTTCTAGTTATTCTGATTTTAAAATCACAAGGCACCGTTTTTTTTAGATGTTTTTAAGTTAGCTTATTTTTACTTTAGGGTTTTTTAAAACGCTTTTTTGTTCATCTACAAGTTATATGGCTTTTTTTTATGCACCAAAAAACAACTTGATGAAATTATTTATAAATTATCATTCTTTTCAAAGAAAAGCAGTTATTATTTTTATTAGTACTATTATTATTTGTAGTTTTCCTCAAGCAGAGATAAATACCTTTGTAAAGAAATTTTGTTTTTAAATTAACTTGTGTTTGCCTTGACCAGATCTCAATTTGTGTGTTTTAAATAAAAGTTTTGAATCTGATCACAAACCATCATTTGCAAAAGGTAGCACAAGTACATCATAGTTCAGATAAATTATTCTCTATAAATTTGTATGATAGTTTAAAATTTATTAATTTCATTTTTTTAGCAATTAAGACAAAAGGTTTTTTTATTGGATAAGGTTAGTTTATTAATTCAATTAGTGAAGCAATTTATGGACCATGAATTAATTTGGATATAAATTCTCATCCAACTTGAATTTATAGAGGATGCAAGACAAAATCATACTTTTGAACAGAATTGTTCAAAAGTATGGTTTTCATTATGTTTGTTACATTATGTTTGTTAGATCAGTAACTTTGTTTTATTTTTATTTTTTATAACTACTACAACTTAAAAGGCCTTCAGTAAAGATTTAGCTTTACTGATAACCTAACTAGATGGTTTGTTTTTTGAATGATTGTTGTCAAAATAAAAAGTAGAATGAAACAAGAAGATCTGCTCTTGTGGTATATGCTCCGTCGAACAAGGATAAATACATCCATTTTTTTATTGTTTTAATTTTCTATAAAAGCTTTGATCTTCAAAAAAATAATTAATTTTAATTATTTTTTTGAAGATCAAAGCTTTTATAGAAAATACTATTATTTTAAAATTAGTGAATTTTTTATACTTTTTAAGCAAAAATTTTTTTTTTCTCAATCTCTTGTTTGTCACGTGTTTAACAAAAAAAACAACGTCTCTAAGGAAAAATAAAATTAGGCAAAAGAAAGTTATTTTGTGAAAGATATGGTTTATAACTGATATAAATATAAGTTTACATAATATAAAGTTTATATAATATAATTATATAATATAAAGTTTATATATATAAACATAACAAGACAAATGTCGTGTTACGTTTATATAATGAGAAATTTTTAATAAAATTAGTTATATTATTTAATTTTTATTGGGTTTATTGTTTATTTATATGTATACTGATATTAATTTACAAACTAATATATAATAATATGTATACTAATATTAATTAACACATTACAAATTCTGTTTAAAACATGCGTTTCACTATTTTTTTTTTTTTTTTTGTGGTTTTTTCATCTGGTTTATTATTACGTTATATTTAGATTACGCTAAGTTTAAATTACGTTTATAACGTCAGAAAAAATAACAGTAACTAAATTTTTTTTTATTACTTTTATTTTTCGTTTTATTTATTTCACATCATTATACTTAATAGAATTAATAGTTTATTTTCTGTATAAAATAATGTATAATTTATTATTCGACGTGTTATCAAGCTTAAAAGGTGATCTAAACGTTTTTTTTTTTGTGAACTCACAAATACTTTCATTTTAAACGGTTGCGATAGTTACGATATAATTCTATAAAACTAAGCGGTTGATTTAAATTTTTTGTTCGAATTTGTAAAAAGATTTTTATAAAGTTCGATCATCGAGTTTTATGTATATAAAACCAAACGTTTTGTTTTTTTTGGAAAAAGTACGAAATTATTCTGTTACCATTGTTTATTAAACTTCACACTGGTCACAAATACTTTTAAAAATTCGTAAGTAAGTATTCTTCAGTTTTATATTCGTTTATTTGTTTTTATTAAAAAAGTTTATGTTTTAAAACAGAATTTATATTGTTACATAACCTTAACTTACGACGACTGTTTTTCGTGTAAATTTGATGATAATAAGTATTTTTTTATTGTTGATATATTAGTTAAATTATATTATAAATATTCAAGATTAAGGTGCTAAAATGTGTAAACCTTTAAATTTAATGTAACATTTTTTATAATATTTTGATTTCTATCTTTAAGCTTATTTTTTTAAATATAATATAGCAAATAGATACGTGTTTTTATAATGTTCAAACTTTTTTTATATTTAATCTCTTGGAAATGCGATAATTGAGTTTGAAAGAGTGAGTTTTTTTTTATGGAAAGGTAAATCGAAAATAGATTTAAAATATTATAAATTAAGATTTAGAAAATATGTTAAAAAATAAATCAACTTGCCTTCAAAATGTTAGTGGTGCAAAAAAAAAAAATGCATATTTATAAACCTTGAAAAAAATTCTTTTATTAAGTATAAGGTAAGTCCTTCGTCACAAAAACTCTACGCTACAAAAAATATATTTTCATCGCGTAGAATTTATTGATTTACAAATTTTTTACTTTAAAAAATGTTTGGCATGCTTTAGTATGCAAAAAAACTAGTACAGTATGATAATGGTATGTAAGTACCTATGCCATACTAATTTTAAAACATACTGAGCTATTATTTAATTGCATTTTCAACCGTTTATTTTTAATCGTTCGTCTAAGTTTGATATTTTAGAAAAAACCTGTTTCTTTTGCTAAAAGTTTCAGAGAAATATTATTTACATGAAACAATTGTGAATGAGGAATTATTTTCTTGTTTGCGTTGAAATGATTGTTTCATGGATTTAATTTTTACTTTTTAAAACAAAATGTCGTTTGATGTGATGTTATTGTAATTTTTAAATTTAATCGGTTTATCTTATGTTTGTTTCTTGTTTTTATATATTATATATATTACATTTTGTAGCTTTAATGATGAAATTATGTTGATTTTGATGTGTAAATGTCTCATGATTATGAATCTTTTATGTGTGTGAACAACCGTTCTAATTTTTGTTATGTTATTTTAAATATTCTTAATTTATAACTTATATTTAAATTATTTTGTTTTAGAAATATGATAAATTAACAAAATTAAAAAATTGTCTTTTTTATTATATTTTATATTACATTTTTATATATATTTATTTTTCATATGAATTATTTTATCTAAAGGTTTCACACTTTTATTATTTTTTTATATCATTTTAATTTAATATAAATTTATGTATATAATATTATTGTATAAAATATAGTCTATTTAATAAAAATAAAAAATTGTATGTTTTTTATTCAATCATTAGTTAATAAAAATTATATGTATGAATATGTAAAATATTATAATGTATATAATGTTATAGTTTTGATTATTATTTTTATTATTTGTTCATTTTTATAATTAATATTTAATGTTATTTTAGATCGTCTAAGTAAAAGTGATGACTTTAAAGATTACGATTTATTCATTGAATGTTTTTATGAAAGTCAATCATCATTTAATGATGAAATTAAATCAATTTTTGATGAACGAGAAGAGTGGTGGATTTCGATTGTCGATTGGAAAACTTCTTACTTTACTTCTTGCCAAAATTATTTCATAAATCATTACGTAAAATCTGGAAGAAAGTTATCGTGGTTACTTGTTAATAAAAATATTTTAAGTGATGAAGAAAAAAAACTTTTAATACAATGTTCAACTAATGTTCGCGTTGTCAACTTTGATCGTCCAATTAATTTCGAAGGTTGGAAACCGAAAGATAAGATTGAAGTGTTGAGGATCTCAGATTATTTAATAACAAAAAAAGGTTTTAAAGAAAAGTTTCTTCCGTGGATTAATCTTTGTAAAGAATTAAATCTTCAACTTCACGACGACATTGATTTTATTAAAGAATTATATGAATGGATTCGTTGTTCGAATGTCAAGAAGTTTAGGATCTTGTACCGTGGAAAAAATTTTTATAACCTCGATGAATTAAAAAACTTTACAACACGATAAAATATTTAATACCTTAAATATATTAAATAAAAACAATAACTATAAATAACTAATGAAATATTTAATGTATTATTTTATAATAAATACGTTTTTAAATATACAAATTAATTTTACTAGTTTATTAGATTTAATATTTAAAAGTTTAATTTTTTTATTATTAAAATATTTTATAAATAATTCGTTTTCAAATATATTAATAGTTATAATTATGATATAAATTATTAAATATATTATTATAGTATATAAATTTTCATATATATTATTATTATTAATAATATTATAAATGTTTGTTTGATATTTTATTTATATTAATTATTTTATGTTTTGTGATGTTTAAGAATTAAATTAAAAAATCTAAATATGCAAATTAAAATAAAATGTTAATTTTTTTTATTTTATTATCAATTTCTTTACAAATAATATCGTATTTAAGATAAAGTCATAAGTTTTTAAGTTGATTGAATTTTGAATAAAACAACTTTTTTTATTAGATTTGCACTTTTTATACACCTTTTACACAAATTAATGTTTACAAAAAAATAACTTTTCAAGGTTTTCGCCATTGTTTCTTGAAGAGATCAACAAAATAAAAAAATTCGTCGTCATCAAAAAAAAAAATTCGATGGTTTAAGTAGAATTTTTCTTCGAAGATTTTTAGTTCGAAATTTCATATTTCATCTGACGTTTTTACTTAATTTTAAACCGACTTTAAATTTTACTTAAACGATCAAAATTTTTTATATAAAATGTTAATAAGTATCGAAACAAATATTTTAAGTAAAAATACTTTTTTTTAAATGGTTTTCAATTTTTTTGTAAAAAGTTTTGTTCTCTCTCTCCATAAGTAGCAGTTTTAAACCGTGATTTTAATTACCGAAAACTATAATATTTAGAAAATATAGTAAAAAAACAATGGAATAAATTAAACTACTTTTTAAGCTGGAAAGAATTAAATAAAAACCAACTAAACGTTTAATCTTTTTTAGAAAAATTCAGTTTCAAGTTTAGACTAATAAACACCGCGTTTAAATGTTTCTAAAACCGCGAATGAAACTTTATTAAACGATCGTTATAAAAATTAAAGTTTTTTAAACAAAAAATAATTTGAGTACGCAAGTTTTGATTTTCAAAAGTTACGCGAACATTTTCAATGCCAAAGAGATTAATGTTGGTTATGTTACGTTAAGGCCATTTGTTAACAAAACTGCAGCTAGCAAGTACTGTGACAGTAAAACCAAAACTTTTTTGAACAAATTTAGTTATGTTGAATAACAACAATAAAAAATAAATGAATACTTTTTTATAATTTAAATATAAAAAACTATTTTAATTCAAAAATCTTTAAAATTCTGTTTTTAATGTAAGAAAAATTCACGTTTTAAAATCTTTTTTAAATTTTGAAACTTATAAAAAAACATTAAAACAAACTATGTGGCTTAATGTATGGATATATTAAATTGCCGTTAACCAACCATGTCATGATTGTCGTTTATAATGGCACAGTGGCGGAACTTCAAAATTTGCCCCCCCCCCCCCCCTTCCCGCAAAAGAATGTTTTTTTTGCGGAAAGAGTTTTATAGTATAAATATTATTGAGAGCATAACTTTATTTATATGAGGGCCCCCTATAGCTGGTAGGCCCCCCTTCCCCCGCAACGCAGGGTCCTGCGTCCAGTAGTTCCGCCACTGTAATGGCAGTTTAAATCGTGACATTAAACGCAAAAATAAGTTTTAAAGAACAAAGTAAACAAAAATAACTCTTGTAAACAAAATCAACTGTTGTTCATTTTTTAAAGGTTGTCGGTAAAATGCGAACCGCAAACTGCGGACCGGTAAAATGCGAACCAAAACCTTATATTTTAAAGACCATTATTGTTAAGATAAAAATAATAATAAAAAAAACTCTCCAACTCTTAATTATTTATTTTAAAGCTTTATTTAAAATAAAATTTTTAGTTTTTAACTGTAAATCATGCGCGGAGTGTTGCCACATCGACTATCTTGTAGCCTGATTCGCAATGGAGTGCTGCTACATCGACTGAGGGTTTGGTTTAGGCAGAGAGTCTATTAAATAATTAAAAAAAAATTGTATTGTATTTTTCTATTTTCTCTCAATTTCTTTTTATTTATTTTTAAATAATTTTTTCTCTTAAAAGTCCTTAAAATATATTAAAATATTCCGCTATAAAACATTACATTATTAACAACGATCGTTCGCAAAAAAGTTTGCATTTTACAAGTTCGCGGTTCGCAGTTCGCAGTTTATCTAGGGAGCCATCCATAAAGGACGTCATCCAAATAGGGAGGGGGGAGCGGGTCGAGTTAAAAAAGACAAAAAAAGGACAAGGGGAGGGGGGAGGTTGTCAGAAAAGGACGTCACTTTATAGATATTTTATTTTAGTTTAATTAACATGGAAAACTACGTAAACATGTGTTTTTATGAACATAATGTATGAGAATATTTTTAATTTTATTTTTCAAAGGTGTAGCAGTAGATTCAAACATCATTGCGAGATGAAATAAATTTTTTTGAAGTTAAAAATAGGGGGGGGGGGGGGTTCAGGATTTTATGACGTCTTTTTCAAGGGGGGTATAGGGAAAAAGGTCAACCTGTGACAAAGGGGGGGGAGGATGGTGGTCAAAAATTGGCTAAAATTGGTGACGTCCTTTATGGATGGCCCCTAGTACCATTTTTAACCCATTCGTGACGCGTGACCCGTAAGGCGGTTTATAAAATTTCTAAACGACGAGTGACCCGCATGACGGTGCAAAAACAATTTTGAATATTTTTAAACATCTCTAGCAATTAAGAAAAACTTTAAAACTATCTTTGAATTGTGAATAATTTCTTTAGTTAATGCTTCAAACCGTTTCTTAATTGCATTTATAGATCGCTCAAAAATCAATTTTAAAAAATGACGAAGAACAGGGAAGGGGAAAGAGATACGAAAACTGACATCATATATAAGGAAAGGAGGAGAAATTGGCCAGAAAAATAACAGAGTTTGACAAGGGGAGGGGTGAAAAATTGTTAGAAATCTCATACATCATTTATGGAATGTATGCCTTAGAAAAAAAAAACAATTTTTAATACTTTTTAGTTTCGATATAATATAAAGCATTAAATTATTTAGTTTCCAAATTGCACGAAACTTCCAAATTAAATTTTACTATAAAAAAAACAATAGAACACGATAAAAGAATTTTTTTTTTTATAGTCAAATTTTAAAAGTTTCTTTTTTTTCGTTTAAAACTTGAATAAATTTTAGGACTTCAACGTAAATTTATTCTCCTATTAAAAGTCATTCCATATTTTATGTTCTCGATAAGATATACAAAATTCTGAGAGTTTAGTTCATTTCGGGGGCAACGTTGTTTTTGCTATTTGATTTTAGATTACACTTTTCATTTATAATTATTTCAAACTTGTTGTTGAAGTTTGCTGGCAAAAGTATTATCTATACAAAGTTAGATTCCGATTAATTTTATTTCAAATATACCCATCATTTTCGTATTTTTCACAAGTGGTTTTGCATGTTCTCGTTTTTGTTTAAAGTATATGATACGTCAAGCGTGTTTTTGTAGCCTATACATTTTTAGACATTTTTTTGATTGCGCACTACCCCATTTTATATTTGCATAGTCAATAAACCCAAAATATTGACTATGCAAACATTTTATGTTTGCATAGTCAATATTTTGGGTTGGTTCAAACAGTGAACCAACCCAAAATAATATATTTTGAGACTTAAAATATCGACATATGGTCGAACTCAATACATTACGCCAATAGTTTTGGTACTTTTTGACAGTTATTGACTGCAGATAATTTATATAGGGAAGCCAGAATAAATTATCGACTGCGCAAATTCCTTAAAATTTTATACTTAGTTGGTTTTTAATTATTATAACTTTTAAATGAATTTCGCGCAATTTAAGAGGAATGTTTAATTATTGTTGTTTTGCATGGAACAGAGTATAACCAATTAATAAAAAGTAATGATATGAATGATGTTGAATTTCTAATAAGTCTTTAGATTTTGAGTTTTCAATTTTTTTTATATTTTATTATTATCGAGTATGTAGGAGAAAGCGAGGCAACATAGCGAATAGGGCAAGATGAGTTTTCATATAACAATTCAACAAGAAATCAAAAATTTGGGTGAAAACTAAACTGAATTTGCATCTTGTATTTTAAAACACTAATTGGTTTTTTTAAATACTATTAATGCAAATTTATACACATTGTTTTACTATTTGCGCCTAAAAAAATTCCTCACTTTTGGTTTCACATAATGGATGGTGTCCTTCAAATTTACCTAGTTTAGAAGTAGTTTTATGCGACGTGTGTTTATTTTGTGTTACTTTAGTTAGAGTTAATGGTAGTTTTTAAAATGTTATAAAATTGGAGGCAAAAATTGCATAATAATTCATCTTGCCTTGGTCAAGTGACCAGATGACAAATTCATGAAGTTTTTATTTTAATATTTATTTTAGATTGTTATATTTGCAAACTGAAAGTTCAAGTAGGTAATGAATCATTTTAATAACATAAACATATCAAGACAGTATTATTGCTTCACAACTGATAGTTTTGAAATAACTCAGGGCTTTCAAAACGTTCGCCATGTTGCCCTGATTTCCCCTATTTACTTTTTTACAAAAAAAAAAAATTACTAAAATATTTTTACTATTGTAAATTATATATTATATTATAAATGTTTTACTATTTTAGAATAGTTTTGCAAAGTTACATTATTTAATCATTCTTACTTATTTTTTTACAGCGTAAACCCAGTTTCTTTTGGTATTTTGAGCAATTTTTATTTGATACCATAGCAATAAGCAACCATTTTACATATCTTTTTTTGATCGCCAGTAATAATAAAAGTTAGTCAATTTGTGTCGTTTTAAAACATGAGGGTAGTTGTTCCTTAAAAAAACACACGTTTGTAAAAGGTTCTAATGATAAGATCAGTACTATCTTCTTTTAGAAACCTTGTTTGTGTTTGTGAAAGCAATTTATTTACTACGACAACAAATGTAAAATAAAAATAAT